TTTTTAGCAGAATAGACGCAAAGGACTACAATAGCCAACTAGCTAAGATAACTAACTGCGTCACAATTTCCAGTAATTTTGCCAATAGTATTACGACGAACATATAAACGATAATACGTGGTGATGATGTCGAGCAATAATCCCATTATTCCAAATGCGAAAATTTTTTTCAGCAATTGTTTACGGTGAATAAGTGATATCTAAACGGCCGTTAAGATGCGATCAAGGCGAAGAAAAATAATAAAGAAGATTATTTCGAAAACCATTTTCTCTATTTTCCATAAGTTGAAACATTGATCGGTTGCAAACAAATTTGTGCATTTATCGACTGAGCGTCGTTGATTTGTGTGATCAACGACGACGTGAAGTAATCAGCTATGATACTATTGTTAAAGGAAGAAAAAAATTTTTTCTCAGATTGATGGACCAGTCTTAAACCAGTCTGAAAAATCTTAATTTGTAAAGAGAAAGAGACAAAACGACAGAGCTGAATTAGAAAGTAGAAAGTAGAGCTTTCCAAATGATCCTAAACAGTACCAACCCTATCATTTGCGTGAAAAAATTTAAGTAGTTAATTATTTAATGATAAACAAATTAAATAATTTTCGAATATCAATAAGGTACAGTAAAAAAATTTTAAGTACAAAAATAAAAATCAGTTATGTTAGTAAAAGTGATTAAATGGAGATTAATAATACATTCTGTAAATACATTCATTATTGTGAATAAATTATGCAGGAATGCTAGTTATGTATGCTATTGTTATTAAAACATCAACGAACAAATTTTATTCGACAGTAGTTAATCATAAATGTTGTCAAAAATGTTGACAAACATTTCAGTGACCATGCTCCGTGCATTATTATTCCTTATTCCGTGTTCTCCTCCTCCGATTTTATAACTTATGGCCGCAGTCGCATCAAAAGTTATCACTGTGTGTGTTACATGGGCTAGACTGAGGAAGCAAACTGTTTCTACAAGATGAAACTGGAAATTGTTTGGTCATACCATTGAGTGCAAAAGGTAAAAAGCTACAGCGGGTTTTTTAAATTTTAGAAGAAATTTTAGAGAACTACTGATGGAGTTTTTTCAAATAGATATTTTTGACACATCAAAGGGTTTCATGGAGAAGTATGATTTGAGAATACATTTGCTTTTGGATAGAAGCGCAAACACAAATTAAGCTCAGGATTTCCTTTTTAGGATTTTTATTTCTTATCAGTTTCCCTCACCAATTTGCAAAATTTGGCGATAAAATGTCTTGTTCGATTAACTCATCTAAGTCAAATAAAATCATGGTGCAAAAAAGTTATTTTTTCTAAACCAGCGATCATAAAGAGTTGTTTGTAAACTCCTGAAAAAATTATAAGGCTTAACCAAAGCATCACATCACCATCAAAGAATAGGCTATATTCGAAAAAATTTTTTTCAGTTATTAAGCGCTTCGGCTTAATTACCAAAGCGCACTCACCATTTCTGATTTGTTTGGTTTCCACTGACTAGGGTAGGTAATAGCCTTTCGTCAGCCAAATACTTGTGGATAAAAGTAAAGTTGGGAAGTTTAGAAAACAACACCAAATTTCACTTTTAACGACAAGTCTACTCCCGCCAAGGACAATTATGATAGTTGAAGCAATCATATCACCTGAAATTCTGTTCTCAGTAAAAATAGCCATTACTGAAGAAATATATAAAAAAAATTACTTTGAAATTATTGTAATCGCTGAAAGCAACGAATAGAGGCTTGCAAAATAATTTTATGTGGTCTCATTATCCTTCATGGTTTTCAGGAAATAGCTCCATATTGTGGAGTAGCAATTATACATTAATTTATGGCCGAGGTTAAAAGAAGAAATAAAAGTGTATTTATAAATCTCTAAATACCCGTGATGTTATTTCTATAGCACTAATGGAAATGAATGCAACCCATTTGAAAGGATTGAAATCTGCTTCACGTATTCATTCAATCTATTCAAAATTTCTGCCGTCGATGCCGTTAATGAATCTTATTTACGACTTTAACGACCTTCGAAAGGTTAATTCGTACTTAAAGTCATTTATCAATTTTTGGATTTATGCATATAATAAGATGATTAGAATAATGCAATGTTAATTAAATGGCTCCCATTTTATTTGGCATTATAAATTGTTTTCTTATATAATTAATAAAAAATCTTGAAAAAAAAAGGATTGCCCACCAATGATATGCAATTCAAGGCAAGGATCCATTGTTGATGTATAATGTTAACGGAATCAGATTTGATCGATCAGTCATCTCACTCGATCAGGCGTTTTAAACCATTTATGCATTTTGAATTTCTTTGGTAATCTAGTTTTAGTCTTATTGCCTCTTCTCCCCCCTTCCCCCCTCCACCCTTCCCCCCGCCCATATTATTATATTTAAAGTCAAAAAAATGTTGAACTTCACTTAAAGAATAGTGAAATAAAAGACACAAAATTCACATACAAATTCGCATATAAATTCATGAATCTAGTAGATAAATTAATTAAACTGTACACTCCAAAATTTTCAGAATTAAAGCTGAAATCTAGCGCTATTTCCTCTGAATCTTTTTCGGTTATCTTTCTGAATAAAGAAAGTATATCTAATTCGCCTACCAATAGATTTTGGATATTATTAGATTTTGTTTTCCCCACTGGCTAGGTGAGGAAGAAATGCATAAACTCCATGCAAAAGAGTTCTCCTCACTTTCACTGGTTTCGCTAGTCTCTCTCTATACAGCCTTATAGAGTATAATTATAAATGGTTTTCCAGCAACAGTACATCGGACTTAATCTTTTATTTTTACAAGTTTTTTCTTGCCGAGAGTCGATGAATCAAAGCAATAATGCGAATTCTTTTTTTTGCAGAAATTAATTTCGGCAGTTAAATTTTTATTTATAAATATCACATGAATAAAGAATTTGAAAAAGAACTTAGAAATTTAGCGCCTATATTACATATAAATATATAAATATATATACACATGATATCTGCCATAATTTTCATCGTTATGGCTATCAATACATGAAAGATAATGATGAAAATTGCTTTTTTATTGACTATAAATGTAAACGATAAATGTAGCGATAAGCGATTATTTGCTAAAATTTTGATGAAATCATTTTTGCTTTTGATAGATTTCTGACTCTTGCTTAATTACTTTTTTTCTTAGAAAGTATCACTTTTAAATACAATGAGATTTCTGGAAAATATTGAGGAATATAGGTAATTACGATAAATCTGCTTATCAGAAATTCCATTAGCTTTTGCTATTGATAATTAAAAAATAAAAAAAATAAAAGTTCGACAAAAAAGTAAAATAAAAAAAGGAGAAAACGGAAAATTAAAGCGAATAATCGAAAGAGTCATCATTCGTAATTCTTATATATTTCATTAAACAATTATTCTAACTACTTTCTTCATTAAACAATTATTCTAACTACTTTCATGGGAGTAAACCTGTTATTAAGTGAAGTGCAAATGCCAAAAACTTCGTTGAGCTTTCTTCCCAAGCAAATGGCGAAATGGTTTCATCTTGGCCAGAAATAATGTGCGGACGAAGAAGAAGAATTCTAATGCATAAAATATTAAAAATATGGATGAATAAAAGTAAAATAATAAATAAATTCAATAAATCAATTGCTCACAAAAATAAAAATTAGCGATATGGGCTAACTTTTTAGATTTCCTATTTGATTTGTAACAGAAAAATAAAATTTAAAATTTAAAATTTAAAACTACATTTTGATTGATAACTTCTTCTTTCTAACATCTCTCATCATTATCGGTTAGGCTGGTACCGCTGACTATAAGGATAAGACACCTTCAAGCTCGATTTGATGCCATCGCTGGCAATAATAGAAGTCATTCCTTTTTGCATCGTCTAAATCCGTATATCTCTAGTCCCCCTATATGTTTAAAATCTTTTCAGACCGTATCAGCCTAGGTTTTGACTGGCCCTCCTTGCTTCTGACGCCATCAATTACAGGGTTTATCAGGTAACGAAATATGTGTTTAAGTCTTGTAATGGCTAAAGAAGAAAGTGACCTTACCCTGCGAGGAGGATGTTCTATATGTGGTACAAGTGGTATATGAAAGAAGATGGATGCAGTCATGTGAGATTTTATACGCTTGTCGGACCTATAAAATGCATATGAGTAATCAAAGGTAGCTTCTTAATATTCTCCACTTCCATCAGCCATGCCTCACATTAATACAGCAAGATCGATTGGACTGTAGCTATATGAATGAGGACTTTCGTTTTGATCGTGATTTCTCGATAATTCCATAAAAGTTTCGCCAGTCGGAAGAACGTATTTCTGGTTTATTATCACTATCACTATCCCAATTGTAATTTCGTCTTTCGCCATTTGGGATTAGAGTGGATTCGAAATATTTAAAGTCTGCATTTCCTCAATCGGCAGTGAACTGGTAAAAATAAGTATTTTATTATTATCTAAGACGAATAAGACGAAAACACTTTCGATTTATTTACATTAATTCTGAATCTAATTTTGCAGTTGTTGACACGTTGTTTAGCATTACTTGCATTTCATTACAACTATTAGCAAAAAGGACTACATCATCAGCTTATTCAAAATCTGTGATGCTGTGCTCTGGACTGATTTGAATATCTCTTGAGTGCCGACAAGCAGTGCCCATTATCCAGTCTATCGCATAGTTGAATATTGTGGAGGAAAGGACGCAGCCTTGAAGGACACCGCTTCTTATTTTCGAAAAGTCTGTTAGTTCCCTATATTCACCGACCGATATACGCTGATAAAATACTTTTATGAGTCGAATGATCACTGGAACGTCCCATCCCGTCACATCACCCCACAAAGCACGTTCAATTGAATTGAGTCGCGGTGTGTAGCAGATATGTATGAAGCGATGCTCCAACATTCTTGTGGTCAGCACAGTTACTTCCTGCTCTGAATCAAGCTTAGTTAAGATACGTATATATCGTATTACCATAAGAGATGTGCAAATCAGTTCAGAGCATAGCATCACAGATGTGTAGTCCTTTTTGCTGACCACATAAAAAACCTAATTTTATCAATTCATTGCCGGTTGAGAAAGAGCCCGACTTTAAATATTTTGGATCCAACCTAGTCTCTAATGGCCAAGCAAAGGATGAAGTTGTGATCCGGATAACGACAGCTAAAATAAGTTTTTCCGTTAGATGAAACCTTCCGAAATCATCCTCCTCGTCCACAAGTCGCAGTTCGTTTGATCTTGCTATATGGCTGCGAAACATGACCAATGAAAATAAGTGCAAAGATATTAAGAAGCTATTAGCCTTTGACCACTCATATATAACATTTTTAGTACCCGTCGAACGGATAATTTCGCACATGATTGTATTCATCTTCGCTCAAATGTATTAATAATATTATCACAGAGCGTGACCTTTATTAGTTAGGGCACGTTCTCCGTCGTCCATCACAGGAGTTGACCCATATTTCGCTACTTGCCGAAGCTTGTGATGGATGGCGTTAAAAGCAAGAAGGGCCAATCGAGACCTGGATTGATACAGTCAGGAAAGATTTTGAAAGGTTTTGAAGATTTTTAGAGGGACTAGCGATATATGGACTTAGACGATGGAAAAAGGAATGGCTTCTATTATTACTAGCGATGGCGTCGGACCGAGCAGCTTGGAGAGGTCTTATTCTTGTAACCAGCGAAGCCAATCTAACCAGAACGATGAGAGTTGTTAAAAGATGGGCGTATCCTGCTGTCGTACTGCTATAAGTCTATTGAATAGAAGGGGAACAAAAATTTTGCTGATACGTCTAATAGACTGGTTCCTCGGTAATTATCGCAGTATATCCTGTCACCTTTCTTAGAAATTGAGTTGCTTTCATCCAGTCATCTGGTATTATTTCATTCTTTCATGCCAGAGAGTTAATTTGTTGAAGGTGTGAGATGAAGGAGGAAGAACAAGTTAAAGAGTTCGATCCCAAGACCATCTTCTTCATTCTACTGATAACATTGGTAATAATATGAAATGTCAGGAAAAAGGAATTAACAGAAAAAAATTTTTCAAAATAACGCACTAAACAATTCGTTACTTTAAAAAATTTTATAATTACCATCTATATCTATGTAGGAATGTTAAATAATAATATTAAGTGCGCAGAAAACATTATATGGACAGCAATAACCAAATAATACTTGATGATTGGTAAAAGGTTGGTAAAATATAGTTGGCGCCACAGTTCTATTGCGTAAAAAAGAAGAAAAAAGAAAAACGAAGGAAAAGATGGCCCTTCAAATAGCCACTGCATTAGGAGGTTTTTGCTTCTGTTGCATAACATATTAGATCTATTTTATTGCCTGTTAGTACATTATAGTAGATCTATTTCACATCAGATGCTGGAAATATATTTGTCTATAGTAGGAGAAGAAAAAGTTGAGATGAATCAAGCTTCTTCCTCCTAAAAATTTAAAACGTACATCTGCAGGGTCAGATAACAAAATGTGGAAAAAATGCCAAAAATTGAAAACATTATGTGCGAGAAAATCGAAGAGAGGAGAAATTCAATAGTATCAGTAATATGAACAATAAGTTCATTTTGAAATCTAAGCAATATGTAATGGAAATATTAGTGTATTCATGCATATTTTCGCTGTATATCGCAATAAAATAAAAGACACAAATTTCGACAAAAATAAGGGAAGTGCGGTTAACAGCTGCAAAATATATGCTATTCGACAACGATTTTCATAAAAAAAGAAATAAATAGAAAAGATATAAATAAATAAAAGATATAAATAAGATATAAATATAAATAGAAAAGAGAGCGAATGCTTTCCTTTAATTTTAACTTGAAGCAGTTTTTTTCCAATTTATTCACCTTGTTTCATATTGTTTAGTGCATGCATGAAATTCCGCTGAAATTATTTAATATATCAGTGCTTTATTAAAGAATGGATAAGTCTTTATAAAAAAAACTTGAAAAACCACAAGCGTGATATGAATTCCTTTTGAAAATTCATGGAATTTTATTCGTCTTACATCATCTTATACATATTTAGATTTTTAAAAAATTTAAAAAAGCTTGAATCATGTAAAACAGTAAATTTCATGGAACCTTAAATTATATCAGATGAGATAGCAATTAAGTTTCATAGAACCTGTTCCTTTTCCGCAGCTAAATCTTGTAATTTAGACGATCTTAATATTAAGTGCAAAAGAAATAGTCAGAAAAATTAAAATATTATGATAAAGAGTAAATTAAAATTAATCAATGGATTCAAAATTAAAAATTATCGAATAGTAATAAATAGTGATAATGATAGTGATAATAATAATGACGATAATAATAAAGGATAATAATAATAAAAAATCATGGAAATAATGAAAACTGACGAATAAAATGAAAATAACTTACAAAGAACAATAATGTAATGAAACAAATAATATAAGCGTACTGAAAACATAGGTTACAGACTAATTAAATGTAAACATGAATAAATATTGAAAATTATAATTATATTAGTAAGATTTCGGACCTAAAAAATTTTATATAAATGAAGTACTGCGATAGTTTATTATTGAATTATTTTTTAAACTATAGCAATACTATAGCAATTTCCTTAATAAATTATAGAATAGAATAATATTTCAGAAGAATAAATTGTCTATAAGTTTAAATTATTAAAATTAATAAATAATCGAAATGAATTTATATTTGAAAGAAATATATTTTCGAAAATATATTTAATATATAAATATAAAGAAATAAATATATATATAAAGAAATATAAAGAAAAAAAAGAAATATAGATACATATTTAAAAGCTGTTTTAAAAATTTTTGTAAATAACCAATAAATTTAAGGAATATACTTTGAATATGATTTTTCGGCATGTTTTGCAGTACAAATCAATGGAAATTTTTGCGTTTCATAATTTTAGTCGACTATGTAAATAAGTAGTTGTCGCTCATCATTTCATCTCATTTCCCGTTAGGCCACAGTTAGAAATATTTACCAGAGAGCCACTTGGCAATAGAAGTACTGGTGGGTCAGAACCACATGGATTTTTTCACTAATTTGCCATTCATAATCTCAGGAGCTGAAAATATTATGGCAATAATATCTGAAAATCTTAATTGTTACCGCAACCTTTTTGTTTTATTTATTGCAGTAAAATAATTTCGTATATTGGTGTCGTATGTAACTGTGTTCTAAAACTGAGAAATTGCGGACAGTCGAAATGAAAACTCTTTGATATTCCCAGCCAACCCCTATAACTGCTATATTATATCAGCAATATCCTCTTAACCTCTCTGGTCATAATCATTTAACGCCAACCAGTCCCTGTCTTAGTGCCTTCAATCTCGCTATTAGATTTGTCACAACCTCAACCGCAAAAAATGACATGAAGGAATGATGATAGTGAGGTAATATGAAAGGAATTGGGAAAGAAAAACAGAACTGGCTAGTATTTAGGGACAATAATTGGTATGGAAGACTAAATCCAATTAAGACAAAATTCGAAATAAAATGAGTTTTGAAGGGATATCAAGCATTATATTTCTGTTTCATGATGATTTCTATTTTTTATATTTCTAAATTTTATAAATCTTACTTTATAAATTTTTTTTATTAATTTTTCCTGATATTTTAGCATTGTATTAAAAATTATTAATTGTATATATGGTTTAAATTTTAAAAAAGTTGGTTCCTTGTAGCTAATTTCCTTCTCCATATATTTATCCGATAATGGTCCTATTTAACCATTTCCCTCTAAAATTCCTTCAACAAAATTTTAAAATGTGAAAATCAAAAAATAAAATACAATAAATAAAATACTAATGCATGTGAAAATTCACATATACAAATAAACAAATGAAAAGCATAAGAGAAAAATTTATCATCGAAATTTAAAAAATTTATCGAAAATTTTTTTGCTAAAAAGCAGGTAGATAGACCCTATATTAAAATGAATAAGTGAGTATTTAATTGTTAAATTAGAAATTAAAAAATTAGAAATAAATTTTAAAAAAATAAATTTTCGCGCAAAATCTGCATTTCTTCTCCTAATAGAACTCACCATTTCTATTTTGGTTCGCTCTGTTGGCCGATGAGATGAGGCCATATAACATGATTGTAGGGAAGCGAATGCCGAGCTTCCAACGCCATTCGCTCATTCCATTCTTTCATAATTACCAATGTACAATTCTCTAAACCATCAGCAAACCAATTTTATAGTTAGCAAAAGAGAACCGAACAGAGCATAGAAGAGCATAGACTTATCGCGGATATTGGCAATGTATTATGAACATTATGTATAGAAACATTTTCTAGCTCCATACAAACGATACTCCACAAACTCAAAACAGTAGGAATGATATTACGCTATACATATTTGTATCTATTGTATATCTATTTACGCGAAAATAATTGGAAAATTTGTGGAACTACTGTGGAACCATAAAGAAGAGAATAAGGATTTCAATAAAAGAATAGAAACGAATATTTGTTTGCTCATTATTCAAAAAGGTTAATAAAATTACAAATATGAGAAAGGCGAATTGTATTCCAACGCAGATAGATAAACAAAGAAAAGAAACCTTCCTAACTCCACTTTTTTATTTTTCATCAATCATTAAACACGCGATATTTTAGTTCACTGATATAGCATTGTAGCACAGCGAATATATATTAGATGTGTACAGTCTGTATTTAGCACTGGTAAAATTTTGTCTTTCTAAGAGCACTCATCATTTCCAGTTAGACTCGTTCTGCTAGCTTGCTAGACAATTTCACCACGGAGTTATTTGGCAATAGGAATTCACATATACCAATAAAATTGAGAGTTGTCACAATCCGATTTTTTGAAAATAGGTTAAAAATAGGTTACTCCTGCTAGAACACACGAAATTATCGGGTAATTACTGCTACAAGTATTTCACATAGAAGACATTAGAAGTGGGTACCAATTTGTTGGCGATGAATTTAAAAATTTCGTATCGCATATGAGCCTGCACTCTGAACCTTGTTGTAACAGCTTTATAGAATTAGATTTACTCCACTAGCTGAAATGTAGCATAAGCCATAAAAGTGCAAATCACAAAGCGAAATAAAGTTCAGTAAGTTCTTAAATGAAAGAACCTTGAAAACTGCAGGATATTTCGTTAACTTTTGCTGGATCCATTTATTCAAAATCGCTCATTCATGCTTTTTATTCGGAACCTTACAATTACACACTGGTAATATTAGACGAAGAAACAGAGCAATAATTTGAAAT